CTAATAGATAGAAGTGTCCTCTCTTATATATCTCCGTGCTTGGTTTACCAACGCTACTACTATGCCTAACGTTAACATGGCTTAGATTGAAGTGAAGGCAACATGTGGTGCATGTCGAAAGTAATACTAATCCTAACTTGATCAAGTTTGGATTGTACTATTTTCGACATGCACCACATGCATGTTGCCTTCACTTCAATCCAATCCATGTTCATTTCACCCGCTCGCATCATGCATCATCATATATAATAACAAGTCCTACTAATTAATCATCATCATACAGCTTCTACTTGTTATTAATAACAAGTCATACGATCATCATCCTCATACTCATCGAACCAACCCTACTTAATTGTTGTTCGCACATGATCATCATTATGAGGTATAAATACCCTATTTAAGGTAAAATAGCATAAAACAATGTAGACCCTGACTCTCCATTATGGAGAATGGAGATCATCCTATCTCCAATTCTTGCGCTTCGCTTCCTTTTGCTTCCAAGAACCTCCTTACGACTGTCCATACATTTTTTCCATTCTTTGATTGTCATGTCTCCGCTTCTTTTAGAAATCCGGTATGGACAGTTGAGATTCGTAGGACGACCTGGTTGTATGTTCAACACATCAAGGCGACCGAGCGTATACATCATATGAGGCACACAATCATTCAGGATTATCTGTTGAAAAACATAGTAATAACTTCGTAGTTAGTAATGATGTACTAGTTTTAGAAGTATGCAAAAGATGCACGGATGTCGTAATAGTAAAAAATCTTACCAGGGTATCTCCATGGTAGTTACCGTAGTTCAACACGTGCACTAGTGGCACGTATTGAACATAATGTTGAGTAGTTCGATTGTAGATATTGTAATTCTCAAGATCATTACAAAATGTGATCAGATGATTTTTTTCTCCTTATAAGTTAATTCGGAGCCATCGGTGTAGTGGGTTTTGTCTACCATCTTCCGCACATTCTTTGAAGAACGAAAATAAGCTGTCAATGGAAATAAGCTGTCAACTATTTTGAAATAAACAATATAAATTACTTAATAACTATGCTTGAGAAGCTCACATAGGGGAAGAATTGGAAGCGTATCAACAAGGACCCAAATGTCCATATTGTCTTGCTCGATTTCAGGATCACCAAGATCCATGGTGACAAGCATACCCTCATCAAAACCATACATCTTGCAAAGTGCTTCCCAATTTTTGCAACCAAAATGGGTTACACTCTCAGAATTGTACAACTTTACATCAAAATCCACACCATGATGGGTCCTTAGGTGAATTTTCTTTGTTTCCATACTTTCATGGTCTTCAAAACCCATCCTCTCCAAGACATAGCGTCTTGCATAGCATGGGATAAGCTAGTCGAATTGGAAAAGATGAAAAATACACATTAAAATAGTTGAAGTCGTGCTTAATTACGAAAAAAACTATTGTCGTCGTTGCGTACCGTTTCAACATCGAAGGTCTCCTCGATCTTAATGCTGAAGCGCCCATCTTCGTCGAGCTCAAGGAACCTGTCGCACATACCTCGGTCATCATGGCACCAGTCGCACTCCCCGGCCCGGGCGGTTTTCGCTGTCCGAGTACGACATTTCCTATGTTCATAATTCAAATATTAAACTTGTACAATTAATTATATGTACTAAAAAACTCTCAGCTCATGTGATGTACATATTCGACCGTCGGTGATGGTACACTACAAGAAATATGTCAACTTATGACATTCTGTCAGTGACCCTGGAAGAATTGGTCATAGATTTATGACCATTTGAGACCAATTGGTCAAAAGCTGTTCGAGGGGCTCCAAACCCTAAACCATTGCGACCATTTTGGTCAGAAAGGTCATAATTTCCTTACATGAAATGGTCATAAAGCTAAAAGTGCTAGTCCGCTGCCTTATTTCTAGTTGTTAACGACCAATATAGATGGTCATAGCCTTGTAAATTGTGGTGGGTTGCTATGACTAGGCGCCACCTCATCAGTTTTGCCTATGTGTCATGTCCATGTGGCAGTTTTTGCCCTAGGTTGTGAAGCAACCTATATTTCTGTCATTCCCAAAATTCCTAAAAAATCTCATAAATTCTTTGGGTCATATATTCGTCAAATATGTAAAAACCTTCCTTGCCTAGTTCAAAAATAATTCAAAAATATTCATTTTCCTATTCTGTTCAGAGTAACAGTTTGTGAAGGAAGTACCACTTTGGCATGTCCAAATAGTATCCATTTTCTACAATGCTTTCCTGTGCCCAAATAACCATCCTCCACCAAATGCCAGCTCAATCCATTCATTATTTTGAGCCGAGCTTCAACATTCATATTTATGTCCAGTGTGGTGGTTTGCAAAGCAAGTACCACCTAGGCTCCTCCTTTTGAGCTGAAAATTTGTGAAAACGGTCTTCTTAGTAACTAATCATCCTCAGCCAAAACTCACGCCCATTAGCCATGTACATTTCCCGTACCGCTAATCAAACACTTGGCTGCTAATTCATGTTTGAGCATCGATTGGTCTCCTCGTGAGAATCTTATGTTGTAATTTTCTTCCTAGCACCAACCTGGGGAGTGCCCAACCCACTAGACATGCCTAGGCCTCCCAGAACACATGGCAACGCCACGGTCACGCGGTGACCACGCGGCGGGCATGCGAATTTACGCGCTCTAGAGTTGGGGCCCTCGGCCACCGCCCAAACCTTGACGTATCGCCACCAAACCATGTATTTATGATTAAATAGGTCCTTATGTAACTAGAAATGATTTTTGGAAAAAATAAATAGCAAACTATGAGGCAGCTGCAGTTCAAATTTGACCCGCTTCCACCTAAATCGGCAGAAATTTGTCTTTTTCATGAGAGGTGGATCAAAATATTTTACACCAGACCATTTTGTCAATTGTGCATTAAATATGGCCTAGTATTTTATAAAAATGATTTGGTCAAATTTTGCAACAATTATTTGGTAGTTCCTTCACAAAAAAACCTCCTTTCGGGCACTCAAAAAATGGAAAATGGTTTTTTTGTCCAACGAAAATGAAAACTTCCTTAGGCAACATTGTTTGCTATTCCAATATGCACCCTTGTGCACAATATGAGATCATTTGAACAACCTATGCCATGAATGTGGCCATAAGATTGATCATTTGGCTTGAAAGCCATGAATCTTCACACTTGATAGCTCATTTCTGAGAACACTTTTTAAAAATAATTACCGTATTACAAGTTTATTATTTTTCCTGGAAACTTGGTCACATATAATGACACAATGCGAAGGTTTTCCAATTTTTTGATTTTTTTTTGAATATTTTATGCCCGTTTCAAAATGCGGTCAAAACGGTGGGCTTGACCGTTCCTAGCTAGTGGTTGAATCTTGGAAAGATTTTGGTGTTTCTCTGATTAAATAGATACTTATGTACCTAGAAATGATTTTTAAAAAAATAAATAGCAAACTATGAGGCAGCTGCAGTTCAAATTTGACCCGCTTCCAGCTGAATCGGCGGAAATCTGTCTTTTTCACGAGAGGTGGATCAAAACTTTTTACACCCAACCATTTTGTCAATTGTGCATTAAATATGTCCTAGTATTTTAGAAAATTGATTTGGTCCAATTTTGCAACAATTATTTGGTAGTTCCTTCACAAAAAAACCTCCTTTCACGCACTCGGAAAATGAAAAATGGTTTTTTCGTCCAAAGAAAATGAAAACTTCCTTAGGCAACATTGTTTTCCATTCCAATATGCACCCTTGTGCACAATATGAGATCATTTGAACAAACTATGCCATGAATGTGGCCATAAGATTGATCATTTGGCTTGAAAGCCATTGATCTCCATACGTGATAACTCGTTTCTGAGAACACTTTTTTAAAATAATTGTCGTATTACAAGTTTGTTATTTTTCCTAGGAACTTGGCCACATATGATGATGCAATGCGAATGTTTCCCAATTTTTTGATTTTTTTTGAATTTTCTATGCCCGTTTCAAAATGCGGTCAAAACGGCGGGCTTGACCGTTCCTAGCTAGTGGTTGAATCTTTGAATTTTTTTTGGTGTTTCTATGATTAAATAGATACTTCTGTACCTAGAAATGATTTTTGTAAAAAATAAAGAGCAAACTATGAGGCAGCTACAGTTCAAATTTGACCCACTTCCAACTGAATCGGTGACAATTTGTCTTTTTCTCCAGAGGTGGATCAAAACTTTTTACACCCAACCATTTGGTCAATTGTGCATTAAACATGGCCTAGTATTTTATAAAATTGATTTGGTCCAATTTTGCAACAAATATATTATAGGTACTTCACAAAAAAACTTATTTTGGGCACTCGAAAAATGATTAAAAATAGCTAGAAAGATAAAAATGCATGCAAATTGGCGATCATCCAAAAAATGTGGTCTAACTTCAGAGAAAAATTTAGTTGTGCCGTTTTGCAAAATATTTTTGATAGCTGCTTCACAAAACACCCATAGTTTTAGTACTTAGAAACTATTTTAAACCATAAATTTTCTAAGCCAATCAGGGCTCATCCCACGGATCACCCCCCTTAGCCGATCTGAACCGTCCGTTCTAGCCGATCTGAACCGTCCACCTCTCAGCAGCCTAATCCTAACCCTAGCAGCCCGCGCCCGCCTCTCTCTCCCCCTCTCCGCAGACTCTCTCTTTCCCCTTCTCCCCGATCCAGATCCATCCCGCGCCCCGTCCTCGGCCGCTGCCCCGTCCCCTGCCGCAGCCACGACGTCAGATCCCTCCGCCCGCTCGCGCCACCCACCTTTGGATCCCTCCACCCGCTCGCGCCACCCACCTTCGGATCCCTCCGCCAGTTCCCTCCCCTCCCCGCACCCCCACGCGCGCAATCCAGGCGGAGATGGACGCCGCCGCCGCCATCGCCCCCCATCCCCACCGTCGACGGCCACCACCTCCTCGAGCAGACGAGGCGGATTGGCGGCCTTGGCCACGCCGATCTGGCGGACACAGCCTCGATCCGGAGGGAGGGATTTGGCAGCCATGGTGATGGGGGTCGCCTCCCTCCTCCCTCCCCTCGACGCCCTCCATGGCAGCTGGAGGTGGGCAGGTCTGGCAAGGCAGTGTGCACCGAATGCCATGGGCGCAAGTCGGAAGCTGCAGGGCGAGATCGACCGCGTGCTCAAGAAGGTCCAGGAGGGTGTCGACGTCTTCGACAGCATCTGGAACAAGGTCCCTCCTCCTCTTCCCCTTCTCCCCCACCCACGATTCTTAGGATTTTGCACGGTTTCTCATGATTCTCCGGGGTCTCGGCGAGGTCTACGACACCGCGAATGCGAACCAGAAGGAAAAGTTCGAGGCGGACCTCAAGAAGGAGATCAAGAAGCTGCAGCACTACCGCGACCAGATCAAGACCTGGATCCAGTCCAGCGAGATCAAGGACAAGAAGGTGACCGACCCCCTTCCTTTCACCTATTTCTCTATGTAGTAGTAGTATGTATGTTGCCTGGATGGATGGAACTGCCCGTGCAGCTACTGCTGCCTCCTCCTTCCTTCATGTTATATTGTATTGAACTATAGAATGGGTTGCAAACCTATGGAACTTTGTACACAAAGCATGATCGCTGATCTTTCTCGCTTGCTAGACAAACTTCCAGCCAATACTGTCCATGTTACTTGTATAAAAACAAAGTAAATGACATAACTGCTCCTGCACGTAGCATTTCTAGTGGTACTCAGCAAGAACAGAGCAATGTTTCCTTTATTCGAGTCTTGTATCAATGCATTGTTTCCAGCAATACTCTAAAATGGGTTTGATTTAATCTCATGTTTTAGTAATCTAGCACTTTGGAGCTGCAGCGTAAATAAATTGTTGCCCCTCGAATGGTTTGAGTGCCATGAAGAATTGTTTATCATGCTTGTATGAAATGACTCACATAAACTCTGCATTCCTCTACTTGATTCAACAATGTTAGTTGCGACCTGTTATTTTGTGGACAATTAACTACTCCCTTCGTTCCTAAATATATGACCTTTTGGTTATTCAATTTGAATTACCAAAATGTCATATATTTAGGAATGGAGGGAGTAAATGATTATAATCAAAAGAGAACTGCTAAATGGAAGAAGATTTTATAATCACAGAAAATATGACAGCTTCTCTGTTTGTAAAAATTGTTGCTAGCTCTGTCTGTAAGCCCATATTTACTTGTTTCTTCCATTCAGATGGAGCAGGAGCCCTCCATGGATGACATCGACGAGGAGGAAATCGACTCCCCAAACAAGGTTTGATCCTTACTGTGATGTTTTTCCTATCGCTGCTATGTTGTAGTCTAGTTTCTGTTGTGGCTGTGAAACCAAACTAGGGTGGCCTGATTGATGAGGTCCTGTATGTGGCCTTGGTCTTAGTTCATATCATATTTGTTCCTTCCTGTATGATGCATGCTTGGTTAATGCTCACAGACTAGCTAGCTAAGGTGGTTGTTTTGCTACTGAATGAATGTTGTTTCAGTTTGTACCTCATCTAGCTAAGTTTTAGTTCTCTAAACTAGACGGCTATGCAGTTTCAGTTTACTCGGTCTAGTGATCCTGTTTTTGGATTTCTGCGGCTGTTCTCTAAACTGAATTTGGTTCAGTTAAAAAACTGCACTACCTGACTGTTTAGGGCAGCGAGCTTCTAACTGAAAAACGAGTTTGTTATGCTCATAATTTCAAGTTGGCCTCTACATATGAGTTGTAAAGCATGCTCTAAGGTTTCCGTAGAGTACTTATTTGCTTCGTTTGGATGTACGGTTTGAGAGCAGCCGTCTATTTAGTTTGCTGTCCAGAAATATATGCACGGCTTCACTTGATTATATTCCTAACTTTTATGATTTATAACCCGCAGATTTTGGGCTTCATTCGTCAAAAGTTGGTGTACAAGGAACTCCAGGAGAAGAATCCCAAGGAAAACCCGCACCCACCGCACCCAACAATGTGTTTAGCACCCACTGTGTCGTCGAAGCCGGCCAAGTCGGGTGGAGGCAAGCAGAAGAAGTGGAGCAAGGGCAAGCAAAAGGAGAAGGTGAACAACACGGTGATCCTCGACCAGGCCCCCTACGACAAGCTGCTCACCAAGGTGCCCAAGTACAAGCAGATCACGCCCTCCGTCCTGTCCGAGCGACTCAGGGTAACGCACTCCCTCTGGATTTGTTATTCTTTCTTGCTCCCTTCCTTCCTATGTGAAGTGACATCTGGGGATGGTAGGATATGTGTGTGATGCATCATGGCTCCTGGTCAAGTACTTTACTGTGATGCTCTGTTTTGGGGTCAGTTTGTACAACTGTAAGAACACACCCATGCGCTAGTGTTATGAATTGATTGGATGCTGGATTCGGCTGCTGCGTCAGTTTTTTGTGCAGATTTTGCTTGGTGTGCCATGTTATAGATAGGGTGCAGTGGATTTGATATGGCCATCTGGTCATCATTTATGTCATGTGTCACAGATATTCAACATAGCCATTGATTTGTAGTGTTTCATATAGTTAAATGTGGTTTGATGCTGCTGCTTTACACTTAATTAACATGTCCCTGCTTCTTACTGTCAACAATATGTGCCTGACATGCCTTGTTCATTAGAACTACTGATTGATGTGAGCACCGTGCATTTTCAAGTATGCACAATGTATATTAGTGTGTCATATGTTTGTTTGATTTTTATGGTGCTGCAGATCAACGGGTCGCTGGCTCTCAGGGCCATCAAGGACCTAATGGAGAGGGGACTCATCAGGATGGTGTCAATCTAGTCCAGCCAGCAGATCTTCACCAGGGCAACAAACACTGCCACCAGTCATGTTAATATTCAGCTGTATTTTATAGTTGAATAGCTATTTGTACTGCCCAAATAGAGAAGACGTGTTTGGCTGTTGAATACCTGATTGTAAAGTACTTTGTTTGGCTGTTGTTTGAAATTTTATGTGTTATTGGCTCTGTTTGAATCAAGTTATTGGTTGCTGCCCAAATAGAGAACACGTGGGTCCTTTAAAATGAAAAAAAACTGACAAGTGGGACCTAATTAGATGACCTGACTAGTGGGACCTGGTCCAAAATGGATTGTAAAAAGGCTGAGGCCCAAATAAGAAATCGAAGCAAAAAGGCCAAAGGCCTAGAAAATAAAAGGCTGAATTGTTGGGCCTGGCCCATGTAGCTGACCAAAATGAACAGGGAAAAATACATTAAAAGGCTGAATTAATGGGCTCGGCCCATATAAACACCCAATTGGACCGGGCTGAATCTTGTGCCACATCAGCTTGCCACGCTGGATGCCTACGTGGCCTGTGGGGAGGTTGCTAGTGACCAAAACGCCACAGTAGGAATATTTTGGTCGTAAACGTCTTTGACCATTCCAGAAGAAAGGTCGCTATAGTCAGTTTACGACGGCTAGCTTTTGACCTTCTGTTTTTGGTCACAAAAAGGTCATAAATGGAAATTTGTGACCTTTCAGTGACCAATAGTGGTGGTCATAAGTTGACATATTTCTTGTAGTGGTAGCTCCTCCTTTCATTCCCGAGTGCATTACACCAAATTGTCTAGCACACGGGAATGAAGGAGAAACTACCCCCACGACAACAGTCGGGATTCTTCATCCTCTCATATATATATGGTTGGAGACTCTCCCTCACTGATTCCTCTATGAAATTTGCGACCGTCGGTGATGGTAGCTCCTCCTTTCGTCCCCGAGTGCATTACACATTGTGTCTAGCACACGGGAACGAAGGAGAAGCTACCCCCACGACAACAGTCAGGATTCTTCGTCCTCTCATATAGGTGGAGACTCGACATACTTAAAGTCAACCCGAGGACTCATATTATAGGACTCATATTGACATGGAGATTTGGTTGGTCTCACCTCGAGGTCGGAGGGGGGGGGGTCGGTGACGGGGACGAAGGCGCGGATGATGGAGGGGGCTCCTAGATTTTTGCAGAGTGCTCTCTAATCTTAGCATTCAAAGTAGGAGTAATTTTCCAATTTGAGCATTCAATAAGAAAAACCAAATCGTAAAATAAAGTACATCATCTCTTGTGTCCATACATCATCGAATATTATCACTAGTAATACTCCTCGAATACTATCATACATAGCATCGCTAATACAGCTACAACCGAAGCGCCTGACGGGTATCGTCGCTGGCGGTGGACACCCAAAGAGAAGGAACCATCACAGGATCATAGCTCCAGTGAGATCCCTGAAGAACCTGCCAGGTATTGTCGAACCTGCCCTCCAACGCAACCATGTAGCGACGGACGTGCTCGTCCTCCTCGCTGACACGGTGACGTACCACCTCCATGGTGTCCGGAAGCCTCGGCACCGTCACTGGACCACGCGACCGCCACCAAACAAGGATCAGGTCAACAACGGGCATGCTCCTCACCAACCTACGCCCCCCAGAAGGTAGCACCTCCTAATACCAGCCCGGCGGAGCCCAGTCCCAGACATGGCCCCTCTGATCAAGCCGGCCTCCTCCGCCGAGTCGACGACGAGGATGGGGGATAGGCATCATCGACGTCGATGCGGGATTAATTGCTTGAACTAAAAAAATAAACTAGTTCTATTAATTTTCTTGCTAAAAATAAACTACTTCTATATATAGTAAAATAAAATAGTTTTATTAAATCAACTAGTTCAACTACTAAGCACTTATTATAAATAAATAAAGTAGTACTTACTAAAAATAAACTACTTCTATAGTAAAATAAAATAGTTTTATTAAATCAACTAGTTCAACTACTAAGCACTTACTATAAATAAAATAAAGTAGTACTTACTAAAAATAAACTAGTTTAACAAGTTCTATTATTTTTCTAACTAATTATATTAAACACTTTCTTTTCTTATTTTCCTTTTTGCTCTCCTCCTTTTTCTTCTAAATATGAACATATGCATAAATGAATTTGATCATACATAATTTTCCTATACATACACAATATGAACATGTACATAAATTGACAAAGAAAATTCTATGAACAAAAAAATCATTAAAATTATATGAACAAAATTACAACAGAAAAAAATCATAAAAATTCTATGAACAGAAAAAATCATAAAAAAATGACATATTCTTTGCATATATATGAACACACAAACATGCATATTCAACAATAATATCACCAAAAAAATCTATGAATAGAAAAAAATTCTAACACAATATGAACAAATTACAACAACTCAATTAACTACACATCTAAATTAACTACACATCTAATTAAATTAGGAAAATTCATATATATGAGCTCACTGCGCGGCGACGACGACGGTGAGGGGCGTGGCGATGGCGACGACAACGGTGAGGGGCGCGGCGACGGACGACGATGAAGCAGGGCACGGTGACGGCGACGGTGAGGGGCGTTCGGTGACGGGCGACGAGGAGGCAGGGCGGGCGACGTTAGGGCACGGGGTGCGGGGCGGCGACGACGTTTGGGCGGCGCGGGACGGCATCAGAGGCAGGGGCGACAACGGCGACGGCGAGGCGTAGAGGGGCAGCCTGGCGGCGGCGTCAGGGCGGGGAAGATGAACTGAATGAAAATTTTCACAAGTGCTAGTTATATAGAAGAAGGATTGGTCCCGGGTCGTGACAGCAACCGGGACGAATGCCACCTTTAGTCCTGGTTGGTGGCGGGAAGCAGAGGGCTTGAGTCCCGGTTGGTGACATCAACCGGGATTAAAGGGGGGGCATTGGTACCGGTTGGTGCCACCAACCGGGACCAAAGGAGTGCATTGGTCCCGGTTCGTGGCACCAACCGGGATGAAAGGCCTTGTGGTGGCGTGGTGCGGTGGGAAGTTTAGTCCCACCTCGCTAGCTGAGAGAGCTCAGCACCTGTTTATAAGCTGCGTTGCACCTCAGGTGCTGAGCTCCTCTCTAATATGCAGGCATTACTTGCCTACCCTTGTCACTGCCATGTTAGGCCTATTGGGCCTGCGGGCCTCCATCCTGGCCCATGTACAGATGATTTTTTTGTCGTATGCAGGCTGTGTGGCCCATTAGGCGGCATTTTTTTATTTTTTTCCCAGTATTTTTTTGTTTTTTTTAATTATTTATTTTCTTTTGATTTTTTGCTTTATTTTTTTTATTCTTTTTGCTTTTAACTCAGAATAATTATAAACTTTCTGTTACTCCATTAGTTTCCAAATTTGAATAGTTTAAATTTTAATTCTTTGAAATTTGTGTGAATCACTAGTTTGTGAATAACTTCACTATAAAAATATATTTTGAGTGATTCTTTTTCCTGCTATTTAGTATTACTGTGTTTTATTATTATATTCAAAAACAGATTTTGTTATTTTAGTTTCTATCAAAAAAAATATTTTTGCTATTAAAGAATATCATAGTTTTGTTTTAGTTGAGAGGGTTATGGGAAAAACTGGATACACTTTATGTACAAAATGGACAATCTCTTCCGAAGTATCAGGGTTTCATACGGAAACTCATCTGTTACATATGGATTTCATTTTTTTTGAACTTATTTGAATTTTTGACTTTTTGTGTGTTCAAAATGCACCATTCAAAGCCACACCATCAATTTTCAACCCTTTCTGACTTCATTAGTTATTTTTCATGCATTTACTGATTATTTTGAGCTATAAGACCCGAAAATTGAAAAGCATTTCAAATGAACTCCGAAAAACTGTATGCACTTCATGTACAAAACGGACAATCTCTTTCGAAGTATCAGGACTTCATACGGAAACTTGTCTGTAACAACAGGCATTTCAAATTAACTACGAAAAGGTTGAAAGTTGGCATGGTATCATCATAATAGTTGTGGAGAAAGTCTTCACTTTTTCTTCGCTTGTGTCCTTTCCTTATTGCGCCGTAACCATGGATAATCTTCATCATGTATCAGGATGCTTGGGTCAGCCTTGACTTTGAAGGGAGAAATTTCATGAAAATTTTCATAATCTTCGGACATGTCTGTCTTGCCCTCCACTCCCAAGATGTCCCTTTTTCCTGATAGAACTATGTGGCGCTTTGGCTCATCGTATGATGTATTCGCTTCCTTATCTTTTCTTTTTCTCGGTTTGGTAGACATGTCCTTCACATAGATAACCTGTGCCACATCATTGGCTAGGACGAACATTTCGTCAGTGTACCAAAGATTGTTCAGATCCACTGTTATCATTCCCTACTTGGGTCTACCTGTACCCCGCCTCCTGATAGATTGACCCATTTGCACTTAAATAAAGGGACCTTAAAATCATGTCCGTAGTGAAGTTCCCAATTGTCCACTATGTAACCATAATATGTGTCCTTCCCCTCTCGGTTGCTGCATGAAAGCGGACATCGCTGTTTTGGTTGGTGCTCTTTTGATCTTGGGCGATCATGTAAAATGTATTCCCATTTATCTTGTATCCTTTGTAAGTCAATACAGTCGAAGATGCTCCCCAGGGCAACGAGTATAGCTCAACACAAACAATGTTCTCACCTCTGAGACGTGTTTCCAACCAACTGCTGAAAGTCCTGATGTGTTCACTTGTAATCCAGTCATCACACCGCTCCGGGTGTTTGGAGCTCACACTGTTCTTGTGTTCATCAACATACGGGGTCACCAAGGTAGAGTTCATTAGTACTGTGTAGTCTGCTTGAGACCAAGAATATCCGTCCCTGCATATTACTGAGTTCCCTCCAAGCGTGCCTTTTCCAGTCAGTCTCCCCCCATACCGCGATTAAGGGAGACCTATCTTCTTTAGGCCGGGAATGAAGTCAACACAAAACCCAATGACATCCTCGGTTTGATGGCCCATGGAGAT